TAAGAAGATAATTTTTACAAATTTTTGGAAACTGACGAGAAGATGTATTAAAGTTTTTCTCTATAAATCTGAAAATAAGCACATCAGTCGCTTGAAATGAATTGATAGATTCTATGAAGATATAAAAGAAGTCTAACAAATCTTAATCTAAGTAGCTCGAAATCATTAAGAGTAAAAAGAAGATCAGAAATGATACTGATTTTACTTAAAAATAAAATTTCCTTGCTGGACGTTAAGAAAACTCATTAATTATTAAAAGCACCATTTAATGGCATTATTTTTCTTCTGTTGTGAGCAATTTTTTTAAAGACAGCAGAAAAACTTTTTGTTCTTTATTTCTAATCAAGGTTATCGTTTAAAGGAAAACCCTGAGTTAAAAATGACTTTCTTAAACTATAGTTTTCCTCGATAGGGTTAGGAATCAAAAATCAGTACAACTAGCACAAAAATTTGAAGCGTAAAACACAGTCTGCAGAACAATTTGTACTGCAGTTCTGTAGAAACTGCAACTTTTTAAGCTTAAGATCTATTTAGAAATGCTTTGATCTATATGTGGTACCTGTCCAACTCCGACACGTGCGATTCTGAAGTTAGGACCAAATTCACTGTCGGTTTTAAAGTATTTCTTCAGCTTTTCCTCCACCACCTCTACGGTAACTGCGGTGGCAAAAATAGGCCCCTTAGAGGTCTGTGTTTCTGCGGTCATATTACTCACATCTGTCATTTTTCTCTTCTAGATTCTAAAGCTGTCTTTGAGAAGTTCAGTGCTTTTAAGTGATTATTTTATAACTGAAATAAATTCAAAATGTTTTTCGTTTTTGGCAGTGCTGTAATAACCTTACCTTTCTGAGCAGAAAAAAAGGCTGTCTGAGGATTCGGCTAAATTTTGCTAGAACGTCAAATAACTAAATTCTGTACTCTTGTGTATAAATATTTTTCCGAGTTGACGATATGAAATAATTAGGCAAGTGAAACGACTGTTTTATGGTGTATTCTTTTATTTTTCAAAAAAAAATTTTTTTGACGATTTAAGAGACTGAATCTTCAAGTGAAGAAAATATGTTAACATCGAAAATGATTATAATAAATGATAGATTTATAGTAATTAAGTGACTAACGTGGCAGTTTAACCTAAAGTTTTCTAAATGAAAAAAAGATAAAAAAAATTTCTCTAAGAAAAAAGTATTATGGCCCAAATTATGCTATTAAGAGCCGTAGAATCATTGTCTGATTCCAGCAGCAAGTTAGAAGTTATTTAATCGTTACAATGCAATGAATTTTAGTAGCCTACTTAAAAAAGACAAAACCTCTTGTAAAGTTTCTCGATCAC